CACTTTTTTATTATGGTTAATAATTTAAGAAGCATATGTAACACTTCTCCAGAGGCTTATTTATCAACTATATCATCATAGTTTCAAAGTAGATGACAGCTACAGGTTCAAAACTTGCTTCATTAAAAACTTCCTGAATGTATTTTTGTATGACAGATTCTAATAGGTTATTAAACGTTTCTGTCATGAATTAATTAGGAAAACAAGGAACAGTATTTCTTAGTCACAAAACTAGTATGGTGCATGACTGTCAAATGCAGATCATTTTGAAAAGCTAGATCAAAATCTTAATTCTTATTTATAAATTAGGAAAATATTCTACAATGACAGATTTCAGCTAGTCAACAAACTAATTTACACCAATGGAAGAGACACCCTGGTATAGAGGCAGAGCCTCAGGAGCCAAATTCTCGGCCCCTCACTTTCTCACTGTGTGACACGATCAGGCCACTTACTGTATTTGAGTCTCAATTTTCAAATATTTGAAATGGTGAGAATAGTATGTCTAACAGGAAATAAAGTGCCTGACCCAGTGGCGTTTGGCAACTGGTAGCTGTTGTTATGCATACAGTTCAGACCTTATGTATTGTAAGGAAAGCAAGAGGACAAGTGATGCCCATGGATTTCTCAACATAGTTCCTTAACGCCATGACAGGAAAGAGATACACGTGCTTATCTAGATGGCATTATTTGAAAGCACAGGGTGCCATCCCTACACACAGCCACAAGTACATACCCCTGCACCTCACTGAAGAAAACTGACTCATACCAGAGTTTATGGCGCATTCTCCCAAAGCGATCACATCTCCTTTGTGTACCACTTTGTCATATTTTATTCCAGCTATAATTGAGCAATTATTACTACCTCTATTTTATAGCTTTAAAAGAGGTTGACTGATACTGTTGGCAATTACATGTTATTTCCAGAAGTACCTAAGAGTTTCTTATTCTTCTTTTATCCTCTTAGGATAACTTCCTAGAGTCATTTCTATAAAAACACAAATATTTCTAATGATTAAAATTTTAATCACAGAACATGGTTAAAATTTTCATAAAAGAGAAGGATTATTGATTTGTAGTCATCATCTTCCAAACATTGTTCATTTATAGTGCCACTTTTAATTCTGAGTTTTCATGGCCAATTCACACTTCAATATTTTAAGATATATGCAAATATGGCTAAGTTAAACGAGCCAACCTGAAAATGTGACATGCTCTATGATTCTAACTACAAGACACTCTGGAAAAGGGACAGTAACAAAGTTCACTGCTTTTCAAGGTTTCTGGGGAGGGAAGGAGAAATATTGATAGCATAGAGCACGTTTAGGACAGTAAAGGTATTCTTCATGAGATTAAAACGGTGGATTACTGCTATCATACATCTGTCAAAACCCACAGAATGCATAACAGAGGGAACCCTAACGTAAAGTATGGACTTGGGTTGATAATGTGTCAAGGAAGGTTCACTGATTACAATAAACACGTCACACAATTTTAGAAAAGCCTGCTTTTGTGTTTCCTTCGAGTAGATTATCATTGTTACTGTACAGGTTTAAATTGCTATTTTAATATTAAATTTTATTTTTAAATATTGAAACTTTAAAGTCTTCCACTGAAGGCCCTTAAATTAAAGAGGTTCAAAGTGAATAGCTCAGAAGATCCTAGAAGCATCTCCTGTATATCTTTCCTTAGACACAGGAATTACTTACTGGTGAGAAGCTTCGTCACAACTAAATGTTCTGTGTCACAGATAGGAATCAATGGTTTCCCAAATTCCTCTTGCAAATTCGCATGCCCAGCTAGGCCCACCTCAAGTGAGCTGTGGATAGTACTCTATAAAGCAGCCCTTGTTGCTGTAAACAACAAAATACTCCAATGTCTTTTATTGCTGGTGTGATCATTATAACTGTTTTATTGAACAAACATTATATAATTCAAAAGGAAAAATTTTCCAAAAAATTTAAGTGAAGAAGAAAATACACTAAGAATCTAGAGACGATTCAGATGATGATTTATCTTTGCTTACTCTTTGTTGTACTTTGGTAATTTGGGTATGGAATGAAGTTATCAAGGGTTGTGTGATCCAACAGTCATTCAGAAAATAAAATTTTTGTGTCAATAGGTGTAATGTTGATACATGGATTGAAATCTAACATTGTCAAGTTTTCAGCTGTTCTAAAAATGGACATTTTAAGACATAACCAAGGAGACTAGGTTGTATAACAAATATTCCCATCCATTTTGGACTGAAGACATATCTAAGAAATTCCCTGGGGACCACTATGTATAATGTGGTTAATGACTTTCATAACAATAAAAATTCATAATACTAATTAATATTTTCACAACTTTTAAAAATCCAAAGCCAACAAACACACAAAAATACTTTAAGCTTATTTTTTATACTTTATAGAAGAATTAGAAAAATTAAAAGCTCACAAAAAGTGAAGTGGAATGAAATTTTAATTAGGAAAATCTCAATGCCAGCCTAATGCTGTACTGAAACTCTGAATAAAACATGGCTACTGTAATTGGCCCAGTTTGTTTCTATATGAAGTTGTTTCAATTCTGACACTGCATATGTTCAGGCACAAGTGATGAAGCATGCAAGGGTTGCCATGGTAAGCACACATCCTTTCTTGGTCAGTCATATTTTTAAAAAACGTATCAAGAACTCTCACCTCAGAATATGTTAGGGAAACTGCCTATGCTTTCTTTACCAGGACATATTAACATGATGCAATGCAGCATGGTCAGAAACAGCCCACATTTTAAAAAAAACTTTAGCCTATTAAGATGGCTTGTAAAACAGGCAGTCAAAATGAAACACTCAATCTTCAAGCCACATAACTCTAGTTCAGTGTTGGGTGGAGGTCAAGTTGTACTTTCACTAAATTAATAAATGATCAGATCGCAGGGCCTTCTACAGGCCTGAGACACCTCAGGGACTCCACCTGTAGACCCTGCTAAGCACATACCTGATGCACATACATGCACGTCAGTCCTATGACTCTTAGGGGAAAATAAAATAATCCCGGGTTCTCCACTTTCTCCCATGTCCCCTGGTGTGATCAGTGATTTCCAAGAATCGGGCACAGGACTGCTTTACAGTCCTTTGCAGAAAGATCTCCAACAAGTCTGCTGCAGAATGCCTGAATTAAAGCCTGCCACTGGACTGGGGAGGTGGCAGGATCTGTTGCCAATGACAGCAGGTTCTTAGCGCTGGGAAACCCACGTGTGCAGGGGCTGGAGAACTTTTCCACCGCCTCCCACAGGGAGTGCCTCATTTAAAAACAGGGGGCCTGCTGGGGCGAGGGCTGGAGATGCAGGGTGGGTATTTAAAAGGAAATGTCACAGGAAGTTTCAAGAGCTTCACAGGCAACTATCTACCTGTGCTCTCTTCTGGCCTCTGATCAATATCATTATCATCATCACCATCATTATCATCACCATCATCACCATCATTGTTATCATCATCATATTTCCTTGAAAGGACGACTTCAGCAACTGGGATGCCGAGCATCCACAGGCTCGGCCTGGAACAAAGAAAATCGAGTTCCTAACACTGTATCTCTCCCGTCGGAGGGATCACGTGTCCTGCTTTCGCTGGCATGCACTCTGCTCGCCCACGCTATAAAATCTCTATTGTGCTTAGAAATTCTGCCCAGGTTAAACCATGCTCAGATACAAATCGCTTTGCCTCCATCACGAGAGCCGCATCTCAGCATACACAGGTACGCAGAGCTACCTGCTGACCCAGTTACCATGCAGGCAAATTCGAGGCGTTGAGAGTGCATTGGGAAAGTGACCGAAGAGAGCAGGTGGAGGGCCCTGTCTCACGGACTCCACCCACCCCTCCCGCCTTGCATAAGAGAACTTGACAGGAACGTGGGAGTCGCAGATGGCTCCTCTCCTAAGCTGATTCCCAGGAGTTGTGAAAGTGACCCCTTCCCTTCTCTCCGCGCTGCGCCCTGCAGCCCAACCCGAGGGCTTTGTGACTCGGCTGGGGAGGGGACAGCGAGGCCAGAGAGCGAGGAGAGGGCGGAGGCGGGTCTTTTATTCAGCCCCGTGGCCCAGAAGTAGTTTAATGAAGCAGATTTGCAGCCATCTCCGTTACCATGAAGTCACGCTATTCCTAAAGACAATCTGTGCGCCCCAGCCCAGCCCAGCCCAAGTCCCCATTCCCGACTCTAAAACACAGTCAGACGAGAGACTCTGGTGGCCAATCTGAGATTCTGGAGCCTGGGTGCCATGGTTGCCCCGGTCCTACAAGGTTTCCCTCCCTCTCCCCACGTAGGATCTGAAACACATCCTGCACCCTTAACCACAGGAGAGGAGGACGCAGAGGGGCCCGGCTGGACCGGGAATAGCGCAGGTCCGCCAGCTTCCCGCGGAACACAAAGGAAATGTGTGGGCTGGAGTTGCCAGGCTCGGGAGAGGGAGGCGTCTTTCTCTCTGACTCCAGAGCCATGCTTCACCACTGGACCCCACTTCTTTCTGTCCTCCGGTCTGGCATACTCTGGGGGTCCCCTTCGTTCCCTGAACTCCACCCTTTCCTTTCAATCCCCAAATGCCATCAAAACCATCTACCTGCTTTTTCTGCAAAGATATATTAAGACAGTAACACAACACCTTCCTAGGTAAGGGACAAGTGCGACCTGCCACAAGTGTGTGTGTGTGTGTGTGTGTGTGTGAGCGCGTGTGTCCAGCCAACACGCGCCGCATCCTGCACACTTCTCCGGGAAAAAGATGACCAGGGACCCCCCAGTAAGAGCGCTACAAGGCCTAACCTTGGCTGGACCCTTGGTCCTAGCATCAGCGCTCAGCGCTCGCATTTTACCTTTCCCTTTGGCAGTGTGTGATGAATCCCTCAGCGTCTCTCGCCAGCCAGCCAGCCAGCCAGCCACTCGGTGCTCCCCTGCACGCGCCCCGCTAGCACCCCGTTTCCAGATGCCCCGCAGCCCGCCCCCCGCCGCCGCTTCCGCGGGCGCCCTACTCACTTCGCCGGCCGGAGAGGCTGCCCATGAGGTTCGGGAGAGCGTGCGCCGCGCAGCGGCCGAGGCTGTTCCTGGAAATGCCGGGGGTCCGCAGTGGAGCGGGCGCGCGGGTCCCGGCGGGGGCGGGCGCGGGCGCGGGGATTCCGAGCCGGTGCCGCGCTAGACCACGCTGTCGCCGGCGCCCCTCAGGTGGCCGCCGGGGTGGGCGCGTCCCCTCCCGGCCTGCGCCTGCCCTGCGCGCCGCGCTAGCGACCGCAGCCCCGGCGGCGGCGCGGCTCGGCCCCCGCCCCCAGGAGGCTCCACACACACCGAATCCCGGGCGGAGGAGCGCGAGCAGGAAGGGCGAGCGGCGCGCCCCGCTCCGAGGCGCGCGTGCGGGCGGAGATCCCGGGGACCCGAGCAGCGTGGGTCCCGCCGGCGAGCACCGCTGCAGGGCGCTGGCGTGAGCGGCTCCCGGCCCGGGGCTCGCCCGAGCGGGGTCGTCGTGGGCGCGGCGGCTCCGGCAGCGAGGAGGCGCGCTCCGGCCTCCCGCCCCGCTCTCCTCCCACCCTCTTCCGACGACACCGGCTGCAGCCGCTTCGAAGTGTGAGGAACGTCAAGGAGTCGGAGCGGGGTGGGCGCCGGGCACCGCGGCCCCAGCCCCGCCGCCAGGGGAGCCGCTCGCCGGCCCCTCTGACCTCTGCTCGGCTCCTTCAGACTGCGAGGGGCTTCCGGTCGCAGAGCGCGGGGCACGCCCACCCGGCGTCCGGGGGCAGCGGGGCCCGGGTCGAGGCGTCCCCGGCGGAGCGGCTCCGGCCTGCGCCTGCCGCGCCCGCGCTCGCGCCGCACTGCTCGGTGACGCCGCGCTCGCCACCCGCCGGCTGCCGCTCCTGCTACCTCAGCAGAGCGCGAGGCGGCCGGGAGCGCCTGCTCGGGGTTTCCTCCCCCGCCCGCCCGCGGCAGGTCGTCGGCCGGCGCCGAGGGGAGAGGTCTCCGCCTGCGGGTGCGCGGGCCTCCAGTCAGTCGCCGCGGACTCCCTGTCCTGGCTCCCCGTCCCCTTCCCCTTCCTATTCGGGGGTCAGGGAGGGACCCCAGAATCCTGCTGCTCTGGGAGTGAGCGAGCAGCCAGGGGTTTCCCAACTTCCCTTCCTCCCTCACCGCCCGCCTGCAGCCCTGAACACTCTCACTCACACGCACGCACACGCACACTCCTTCACAGAAAGCCACTCTCTCTTCGTACACACGCCCTGGAACTCACACCAGCAGTGTTAAAAACCACATTGATGACGCTTGTACTATATTTAGACTTGCAGATCCGATGAATTCCATCCTTGAAAATTAAAATGGATTTATTATCATGCAATCATTCTTTTGTGGAATATGAGTGGTCCCCCCCCCGCCCCAACCAGTCCTCTTCCTCCTGTTTCTCTTCCTCCTCCTCCTTTCTCCTTTTCGCAGGAGGATCCTGCCTTCCATTCTCTAATTGCCAATGATGTGGTGGGATTGTCTGAAATGTATGGAAGCCCTTCCTTGTATTCCTGCATTGGAATATTAACGTCTTCAAGGATAAGAATCCTTTCTCCTGGCTGCCGGGGATTGGCGAGGAAGAGACTTTGGAGGCTGAGACCCGTCTGGGGAGAACTTGGAAAGAGTGATTATCTGCTTCATCTGGCCCACTTTGAAGGACAACTTCCCAGGGCTTGGTGTCATTTGTACATAGGAGGGAAGAGAAGTGAGACTATGTTTAAGAGAGCCTGCTTACTTTCTTTCAAGTCTTACAAAACACCATGATACAGGTTATGAAAATGACAAAGAAATGGAAAAAAGTGTTAAGAGAACTTTTTAAAAAATAAATTGA